TGTATATATATACACAAATACAAAAATGCAGTGGCGCTTCGAACCATCCACCTTGGTCCTTGAAGATTGGCATGCAGGCGGAATGGCAGGAAGGTCAAGCCGAAAATTTAGCGATACCTCTTTGTTGCCTTTTCCGGCATCGCCGATATAATAATGTTATTCGTTATCCTTCCTCCATGCTTCTTTTTACTCATTCTCGCCATACCCTTCACATTCTCCCCATCCTCCTCAGCTCTTTTTGCGAAGGCTCCTTATTGGAGAGCCTCTGGAGGCCTCACAAAAGCTGTTCAAGCTTTCTTAAGGTCTTCTGGAGGCCTCCCGGGCGTGTTCTGGGGGCCTCTGGGGGCTTCCTTGGGCCACCCTGCCTCCAACCGCGGTCTCCCAGAACGACTGGGTCACGATTTGGAATGTTTCGGAGGGTGTCTTGGGGCCATCTTGGGCCGCCATGGGGCTCTGTTAGGGCCATTTTGGACCCCTGCTTTGCCGCTTTGGGGCTCTTGGACTGCCTGGAAGCCCTTTCGGATGGTTGTGGGGCGATTTTGGAGCCTCCCAGGCGGCTTCGGACGCCCAGAAGATCGCCATCTTGGAGCGTCGGGAAGCCGAAAAGAGGAGAACCCCAAGATTCACCAAAAACCCGCAGAACACGTGTTGTTTGCCTCTTGGAGCCTTCGTGGGGATGCTCTTGGAGGCCTCTTGGGACGTTTTGGAGCGATCTTTGGGGGTATGACGGCTTCTTGGGGGTCGTCGTGGACCGTACTGGGGCTCTCTGGGGTCGTTTCTGGAGCGCGCTGGAACGCCTGGAACCCGTCTGGGGCCGTATTCGATCTCTCGTGAGGTTCTCCCGGGTCGTCTGGAGGGTTGCCGGGGCCAAATTCGTAAAGGGCGGGGGGGCCAAATTCGTAAAGGGCGGGGGAAATTCGTAAAGGGCGGGGGGAGGGTTTTTGTTCTGGCGTCCCCCGCCCTATATAAAATATGATTCGGAATATATATATATATATATTATATATATATATATAATATATATATATATGTGTACTCATACATGCATACATGCATGCATACATACAGATACGCATACCTACATAAATACATTCATGCATACATACGTACATACATACATGCATGCATGCGTGCATGCATGTATGCATACCTACATACATACATGCATACATACATACATGCATGCATACATGCATATATGCATGCACACATGCATGCATGCATGCATGCATACATACAAACATACATACATACATACATACATACATACATACATACATGCATGCATACATACATACATACATACATACATGCATACATACATACATAAATATACATACATACATACATACATACATACATGCATACATACATGCATGCATGCATGCATGCATGCATGCATGCATGCATACATACATACACACGTACATGCATACATATGTACATGTACCGATGCATGTGCATATACATAGACATACACATATGCATCTATATATGTGTGTGTGAAAATGCATATGCATGTGCATCTATATATTCGTGTAGATATACACAATCATATACATATACATATACCTATAAGTCTATATATACACATACATATGCATATACATAGACATACCGTATACATGTGTAAATGTACGTGTGTTTGTATAGATCGCTATATATAAATATACATATATATATATAGATATATATACATATATATATACATACATACATAGAGAGGTCTGTCTGTATATAAACAAGACTGCATTGGCGTTTCGTGCCATGCACCTTGGTCCTTGAGGCTTTGCTTCTGTTGGTCGTTCGCGCCATTCCTAGTGGCCTTGGGAATTTGGCCCCGTCCCTGCGGTGGTTTTCGGAAATCTTCGAAAGCTCGGGCGGTCCGTGGCCCTTCTCGGGCCTCCGGGGACTCCCAAAAGGCGCTGGGTGGAGGGCGAAGGATAGGAGGGACGGAATTTCGGGGAGCGAGGAGAGGAGGAGAAGGAGAAGGAGAAGGAGGGGGAGGAGGAGGACCCAGAGTTACTCTAATTATAATTCTAATTCTAATCATGTCAGCTGCGTGGTCCTTCTCTAGGAAGGCCACATCACAAAAAAATACTTATCAAGGAACGCAGTGCCCGACTTTGGGGGGAGTCCCCGAGACAAGCGAGACAGCACCTCCCGCCCTGCAGTGGGACGATCGCACTCCTTCTTCAGGGTGCGCACCGAGGAATGGCAAGCCACGCGAATGAATGCCAAGCAAACCGACTTAATGTAAAGCAATGCCGCGCCGCTAAATACAAAGTAATGCCAAGCCGAGGCTGTCATATTGCAGCGGGTCGCAACGGGGCACGCGAAAATAAGCAATTCTTGAGGAATGCACCGAATCCTGGGTTCGCAACAGATTTCCGGGAAATGTGGTGGTGAACCCAAGATTCGGGTCGGTCTGGTAAAAAACGCCGTGTGGGCCTTGTTGGAGCCCTGGTGGGTCGGCTTCAGGCCCTCTCGAGCCGTCCTGGGGCCATCTTAAGCCGTGTTGGGGAGCTTGGGCCCTCTAAGGACCTTACAGGGGCTACGTGGGCCCTCCTGGTGGCCTCCCATGGCCTTCTTGGGCTTCTCTTGGGCGCCTTGTGAGAACCTGCTGGGACTCTTTTTGGCACATTCGGGGCTTCCTTGGGCAGTCTTGGGGCCATCCAGGCCGTCTACAGGCTCTCTTGGGGGTCTCTTGGGCCGTCTTGGGGCGATACCAAAGGCTTTTTGGCTGATTTGGGCGCCGCTGAGACCCGAACAGCGAATACTCTGAAAATGTACGTTTCCCTGCGGGAGTGAAGCGATTTCTGCGATCTGGGAATCTTGTTCAGGGCCTCCTGGGCCGTCTTGGGGGCCTCTGGAGGCCATGTGGGTCCTTACTGGAGCGCTCTTGTGCTGTCTTGGGTCTCTCTTCGGCCTCTCTGATCACCGCTCTGATCGCTTGGGGTCACCTGGCTAGACCCAGCAAAGCGCCCTCGGAAGGTCTGGGACGAGCCGCACGAAATTTGGCAAGGGTGTCAGGGGGCCCGGAAACTCTGGATCCTGGAGGTTCGGTTTTGGCGGGGGGTGAGGGGGTTCTCCCACCCAACCCGGCTTGTAAAAATATAGGAGGAAAAACTATATCTATATATATATGTACAAATATATATATAAATGTGTATATATATATATATACAAATGCATACGCATATGCATATGCATATACATATGCATATACATATACATATACATATACATATTCAGTTATACATACATATACATATACATATACATAAACATATACATATACATATACATATACATATACACATGCACATACATATACATATACATATACATAAACATATACGTATAAATATACATAAACATATATATATACATACGCCTATACATATATCTATACATATACATATAACTATATCTATACATATACATATAGATATACATATATATATACATATACCTATACCTATACATATACCTATACACATACACATACACATACACAAGCATATACATATACATATACATATACCTATACATATACATATACATATACATATACATATACATGTACATATGCATATACATATACATATACATATACATATGGATATAAAAATACATATGCGTGCACATATACATATACATATACATATACATATGCATGCACATATACATTTACATATACATATACATGTACATATACATATACATATACATATATATATACAAATACATAAACGTATACATATATATATATGTACATATATATATACATATACAAATGCAAATGCATGTACATAGTCATATACATATACATATAAACATACCTATACATATGCATATGCACATACATACACAAATGCATACACATACACATATACATATACATATACATATACATATGTAGCTATATATATGTATATACAATCATACATATACATGTACGTATACATATACAAACAGACATGCATACATACAGACACACAGACAGACAGGCAGACAGACAGACAAATATATATATATATATATTAATGTGTGTATATATGTGCTTGTGTGTATGCGTGCGTATTATCTTAATTGGCATGGACCCCAAACGGTAAGTTATTACACCGTGAATGTGCAAGCTATGTGGTGCAAGCTATGTGGTATCAGCTATGGGGCGCAATATACGTGGTCCGGCCACGAGGCGGCCACGAGGCGGCCACGGGCGGCAACGTGGCGAAACCTCGCCAGATCCACCAAGCACACGAGGCGGCCACGAGGCGGCCACGGGCGGCAGCATGGAAGATTCTCGCCAGGCCCGTCCATTTCCTGAGTGGTATGAGCAAGAACCCTGAGTGCAAGCTCTGCTCGGGGAACATCGTCGGAGATCGGACTTCGACGACGAGAACGTCCTCCTGACCGCCCGTCTCACCAGCCTCCTCGTACCTCCTCTAAGAAGCACCGTTTAACCGACCTCTGTCCACATGGGCGTGGTCTGGGACCCACTGGCCGCTGTACGCCCCTAGATAGGGGATATGGGCTGTTCCCTTCGGGTTTCAAGGGGGACATCCCCGACTTCGGTGGTGAGATGGTGGGGGTCCGGATGGGGATGGGGATAGGGATAGAGGGTATAAGACGATACTGGTAGAGCCAGGTCTAGGCCGCGGCCAGCCGCTTGTCGGGGGCGCGCAAACATGGACTAGCGATCCATGGATCTGGCGCGCGGTCGCCGAATCCATGGATCGGGGGAGGTGCCCTACCCTTGTAAAGGCGGCCGGTGCCGCCTCGCTCGGCGGCCGAGATCCGCGATTTCCCGTGGAAACGGGACCCGTCGCTAATCCACGCCCCCTTGATCCATGTTTGCGATCGCCCGAGCCCCGAGGCAGAGGCGCCGCGAGGCGCGCGCAGAGGCGCGAGAAGGAGGAGGAGGAGGAGGAGGAGGAGGAGGAGGAGGAGGAGAAGGACGGCCCCGAGGGCGGGGCGCGCGGCCCCCTGCGCGCCTCCGCGGCGGCCGCTGGCACACGCGGCACCGCCGCGAGGGGCGGCGCCGGGGGCGGCGGGTTGGCGGGGCGGGCCACCACGGGGGCACCGAAGGCCGCCTGGGGGGGAGGGGGGGGGGGCGGAGGGAGGAGGAGGAGAGGAGGAGAGGAGGAGAGGAGGAGGAGGAGGAGGAGGAGGAAGAGGGGAGAGAGGAGGGAGGAGGAGGAGGAGGAGAGAGAGGGAGGAGGAGGAGGAGGGAGGAGGAGGAGGAGGAGGAGGGGGACGAGGAGGAGGGGGAGAGGAGGAGGGAGGGAGGGGAGGAGGAGGGGAGGAGGGGGGAGGAGGGAGGAGGAGGAGGGGAGGAGGAGGAGGAGGAGGAGGAGGACGACGACGAGGAAAGGAGGAGGAAGAGGAGCAGGAGGAGGAGGAGGAGGAGCATCGCACCGCACTCGCAGCCGCCACTGCTTGCCAGCCCCCTCCTCGCAGCCTCACACGTTTTTACCCTTCAGTCGCCTGCACTCTTGCTGTCAGGCCCCCCTGGACTCAAGGTGTGGTCCATCATTTCGCAGGTAGCAGCCCAAGGTCTGCCACCCTCTCTTCAGAGCTCGCACGCAAAGTTCCAGGCATCCAACCACTGCCATCTTCGTACATTTCAGACTTCAGCCACGCAACTACTTGCCACAGCTCGCATACAGGCCAGCCCACTGTGCACCAGCCTTTACAGCTACCAGTCAGCTATTACTGAGGGCTCGTTGCTATTCAAAAAAAAACGGGGGTCCTGGTACCATGGAGGTTTGGAGTGAACCGAAAAACCCTGGGCGGCGACCCAGGAACTGCCGCCTAGCATGTGACATATATGTTTTGCAGCTTCAAGCCGCCTTTGAGCGGCCACCCAAGCGCAGAAGGTTGCAGCAAGGTGCAGCCATCACACAGACCAGCCTCCTAATGTGCCAGCCCAGTGATTACTTCCTCATTCCGCCTCTGTCTTCAGCATCTGCCTTACTTCCGACGTCGCCTGTTCTGTTAGTTGTTACATTTACCTTGCCATCATGACTAGAGAGAAGGACGGGTGGTGGGTTTTGATGAGGTGTGGGGCTGGGAGGAGTCGAGTGGGGATGGGTGGAATGGACGGAAAACAGCACCGGCAGCAGGTCAACTAAAGGCCCCGGCGCCGGGGAACCCCCCCTTGCGCCCTCCTCTGTCTCGACGCTTTCGTAAGTACTCAGGTCGCCAGGGAGGGCGCTTTTGGGGGGTTCACTGGTTTGCCGGGACCTCCCCCTCCCTCCTTCCGGTCCTCCTCGTCGTGCCTGCTGCTCTCCCTCTCCTCCTCCTCCTCCTCCTCCTCCTCCTCCTCCTCCTCCTCCTCCTCCTCCTCCTCCTCCTCCTCCTCCTCCTCCTCCTCCTCCTCCTCCTCCTCCTCCTCCTCCTCCTCCTCCTCCTCCTCCTCCCCTCCTCCTCCTCCTCCTCCTCCTCCTCCTCCTCCCTCCTCCTCCTCCTCCTCCTCCTCCTCTGCTGCTTGGCCTCTCGGGTCGTCCCCGTCCGTCGTGCTTCCTCCTCCCTTGGGGTAGCCCCCTCCTTTCGGCCAGAGGAGCCTTTTTTCAAAACCGGCCCTTCCCACTGTGGTGGGGTCCGGGGAGGCTACGGACGCCGTCGTGACAGCAGGTGCCGAATGAGCGCAAGTAGCTGAGCGCCGAACGTCGTCGCAACTGAATGCTGATGGCGGCCCGCGCTGCTCGCAGTAGGTTAACGTATGCAGAGGAGGCCCGAGGAGGGGAAGCAGCGTGCCGCACCGCACCTTGCTGTGAAAGCGAGGGCGCAGGACCGTGTATGCAGGAGGAGGATAGGCAGGATGTCCCGCCCTCCCGCCCCTCCTCGTCTCCCTCCGCGTCTTCCCCCCCTCCTCCTCCAGCAGGATGCCTCGCCCTCCGAGAGCTTTGCATCCTCGCCGAAACCAACGCAATCGCAACATCCGTAACTCCGTAGCTCCTTCCCCCCCCATCCTCTGGCTTGCCCCCCCCCCTCCACCGACGGGCTCGGGGCCGGGGGCCGCCGCGCGTCAGGACAGAGGTCACTGAAGGGGCCCCAGGACACACAAATACAAAGATTCCCCGTATTTTCCCATATTTTCTCGGTTTTTGTCTTCCCCCCCACTTCCCATATTTTCCCATGTTTTCCTGGGAATCGACGATTAATTGTGTTTGTGTTTTTTTGCCCTCCTGAATCACGACGGGAAGTGCTTTGACCGTCGTCGGCCTCTGGGGGCCCTCCCCAGACCCTGGGGCTGTCAAGAGGCAGGTCGTGATGAAAAACCGGCCCCGGGGAAGTGGTCGAGACCTCTGGGGGTCGAGGTTGCGACAGAGTCACGACATCGGGGGTCTGCCTCAGGGGGGGATCCTCGGCCTGGCATCGGCGACGCATCGCCGACAGGTCGGCGACAGGCCTGCGATGGCGGAACCGCACGCTCCCGGGCCGGTTGCGGGTGGGCTGGCATGCCCCGATGGGCGATGACTGGGCGACGGGGGGCCGATGCTTCCCCCTGGACCAGTTCCCCCCGCCCCCGTGCCGACACCCCCGACACCCCCCGGGGAACGCCCGCTCCGTTGCCTCTCCCCCCTTCCCCGTCCCTGCGCACGCTGACACAGCCTGCGACTGCGCGGACCTGGCGCGCGCGCGCGCCAGATCCGCGGATCGGGGCCGGCACACCCGAAGCGAGAGGCCGGCGCCGCCGCCATTTTGACGGGGCCCCAGGACACACAAATAGATACACGCAGATAAAATGATTCCCCATGCTTCCCCATAGTTTCTGGGTTCCTGTCTTCCCCCCCACTTCCCATATTTTCCCATGTTCTCTGCGAGTCGACGATTCATTGTGTCTCTGTGTGTTTTTGTCCCCTCCTTAGCCGTGTCACGACGGCGCGCGCCGACTCCGTGCGGAGCCGGGCCCCGTCGCCGGTCCGCGCGCCCTGCGGGACCCCACATGCGTCCGCCCTCGGCTACACGCCAGAGCGGCCCTGGGCAGGAGCGACCTTTTGTGAAGGGGCCCCAGGACACACAAATGAATACACACAAATAAAAATATTCCCCATACTTTCCCATAGTTTCTGGGTTTCTGTCTTCCCCCCCACTTCCCATATTTTCCCCTAATTTCTGGGAATCGACGATTAAGTGTGTCTGTGTGTTTTTTTCCCTCCTGAGCCTTGCGTGACCCCACATGCCTGCACTCGGCTACACGCCAGAGCGGCCCTGGGCAGGAGCGACCTTTGGTGCGCGGCTCCAGGGGGGGGGGCGCCGCGAGGGGGCCCGAACCGAGTGAGCGAGCCGCCGCTATCGCATCGCCTTCGGCGATGGGGGGGCCCCGTCGGACCCGCGCCAGAGGTCACACTCCAGCGAAGGGTCACTCTCACGTGCAGTCGATGCACCTCCTCGGCGCTCAGGCTGCGTCCCCGGACCTCCCGCTCGGCGGCGCTGCTCCTCGGAGAACTCCCCCCTGGGCAGCCCCCCCTCTCCACCGCTAGAGCAGGGAATTCGATGTACCCCAAAGCTGTGTTCTCGTCGGCTCCTACGTGGAATGTTCGCAGGTCTACGAACAGTCTACGCATGTCTCATGCATTCGACCACCACATGAACCGGCGGTGGACAAACCTCCCTTTAGTAGACCTCCCCTTAGCGAAAACGGCCTGGGACCGAAACCGACAGGCCTGGACCCGCAAAAATGACGGCCGCGACGCCCTCTCGCGAAGCGAAAACGGCCAATTCCCTAATCGACGTGTCAGGGTACTCCAGATTTCGTAATAAAGTAGGGGGGGTCACATTTGGCGGGGGGGTCTGATTTGAGCTGTCTTGGAGGGTTCGGGGGGGTCTGTGCACAGGGCCGCCCTTTCATGGATGGTCTGGGGGGGTCTAAGACTTCTCGTCTGGGAGGGTTGTGACCCCCTCCCTTTTCTTACGAAATCTGGAGTAGGTCTGTCCACCCCCGAGTGAAGCTTGGGGCAGATCAGTGCTGTTGTCGACCCCCTCCTCGAGCCCTTGCCCCCCCCGACGCCTGCTGCACAAACTGCACCGACGGCTGCGCCTCGGCGCGGCCGGGGCGAGGAGGACCTCGCCCCCGCCTCGGGCGAGGAGGGCGAGGAGGGCCGAGGAGGGCGAGGGGGGCGAGGAGGGCGAGGAGGGCGAGGAGGGCGAGGAGGGCGAGGAGGGGCGCCGTCCCGTCCCCAGCCTCGGCGGCGCGCCCGCGCCCGGGTTTTCGAGAGGTCCCCGCGCCAGGGAGGCCCCCAGGGCGGAGAGCGCCCGACCCTGCACGGCTGGTGCCCTGGCCGACGTGTCTTCGGGAGTCCTCGCGGAGGCCCTCCGGGGGTCCCCAGAGGCATCCGGAGGCCTCAGGGGGGGCGTTTAGCCGACCCGATCTAGCCTGCCGACGACGCAAGAGCTGCAACCACTTCCCAGCCCCGGCCGCATGGCCGGCGACCTCCCACACTAAAGCCTTCCAGGCTTTAGGGCCGCTGGCTCCTAAATTCCCAATGCGCTCGATGCCCGGAGGCCGACCCTGAGACGTCCAAGCCTGATCTCGGCGGCGAGCCAGGGGGGAAGTGAGAAGGAGAGGGCCTTCTCGGAAGACAGCGGGACTTCTCAGAAGGCCTCTGGTTTTCTGGGAGGTATCCTGCGTCTTCGGGGAAGGCTCAGAAAACTTCTCGGAAAGCTGGGGGGCTTCAGAGCCTTCTGAGAAGGCCCGCCCCTTCTCACTTCCCCCCGGGCCCGCCGCCGACAGTCTGGCGCCTGGGGGAGGGAGGAGGAGGAGGGAGGGCGAGGATAGGATCGGACCAGCCGTCCGCAAAGGAGGGGTCGAGCCCCTGCTCCTGGGCGAGCGCCGGGCCAACCAGACGGGCTGACTGAGCACACGCCTCCCTCCTGCCTCCCCCCCACCTCCTCGAGCACGTTCTTGACGGCGTACTCGGGAGGGAGAGGAGGGAGAGGAAGGAAAGGATGGAGTTGTGGGTCCCCAAACGGTGCAGGAGCAGACCGT